GGTAGTAGAATTGGGAAATGGATAATGAAAGACTATTTGATAGGATTTATAGCCTCAGGGGAATGCCTGAGACCTCCTTGACCAAGTGGGAGAATTCAAGGAGAATCCCCTAGACAAATGGGACCAAATTCTTTTTGGGGTAAAGGGCAAAGGTCTTGGCTTGGGCTCCTACCCCGTTTGGGAGAGAAGTGAGAAAATAAGTTCTAAAACTGTCCCAATGGCCCTTTTCTGTGCTAACCAGCTGTGGTGGCATCAGTAGTGACAAAAAAGCAAAAAACATAAAGCACAGCAACAAATGGCAATTTGGAAGCAAACAATGGTAGCAGTTGGGTCAGCTAGACAGCAGCAGCAATATAAAGATAAATATCAAATGGTAGCCTTAAAGGCCCAATGGAATGGCAGCTACCTTACAGCAACCAAGGAGCTGCAGAGGCAGAATCAGGTGGTATCATGGAGGTACATCTAGATGATGGGAGGCGACACTGACATCTCAGATGGAAAAGGTGTTACCAAATGAAAGGTAAGAGAAGATGACCCTAAAGCCAAAACCTTTTATATTCAATGGGGTTGAGTCTTCAAGGGATTTTCTCCTTCCCACTGGCACTTGAGTCTATGGGGGATTTCTCTCATCTAATTCAATATTTATCCAAACAAAAGAAACCAAAAACAATCTTTGACTTCAAGAGCTTACATACTATTGGAAGATATAATATGTACCCAAATAAAGTAAATACTTGTAATGTAAGGAATCAAGACTCACGAGGACTGGTGCTAACTGATATGGTTTCATTGAGAAGGTAACATCTGAATTCAGCCTTGAAGATAGGATTCCAAAAGGCTAAAATGTAGAGGAATATATTCCAGGATTTACAATGGCCTATGCAAATGTGTAGTCAAATGTGGCTAGGTCTCTGGAGGTGTTAAGTAATGTAAGTTAAGAACGGAAAGATTAGGTAGAGCTGAATGGTAGAGAGCCTTAAGATCAGGCTAAAAAAAAATGGGGTTTTGAGTGTTTTTTTCTTTTTTTGTTTCATTTTTCCCTCCCAGGCCAGTAAGAAACAATTGCAGATGTTTGCATGTGTGAGTGTGATGTATTCAGACCTGGGCTGTTTTAGAAATCTTATGTGTGGGACAGAGACCACTTACTCAAAAATAAAAACAAAGACTTAGATACCTTGAAAGTAGAAAGGAGTTTATTGCTTTCTCATAAGAAAGGGTACCCTCTTAGTCACCATTTCAGGCCAGGAGAGTATGAGTTCAGTATGGAAATCAAGGCTTATTTATATCCTAAAGTGAGTTCCTCCTCCCTAACCTACCCTTCCCCTTATCCCATTGGCTGGGCTTTCAGGGGGCACAACCTTTTCACAGAAATCTAGAACAAAGGTAGTTATACAAGTTTGCCCAGAGACAAGAAAAGGCGGGAAGTTTGAAAGCAATAATCAAGAAATATTAACAAGAACCATTGATTCCCTGAGGAGGCTTCACTTCTGAGAGATCATCTCTCACACTTGTTATGGCAACTGTGTAAAGAGTAGAGAGAGGATATTTTGGAAGCAAGGATACTGATTAGGAAGCCATTATAATATTCCAGGAAAGAAGTGATAAGGGGCTAGAACTAGGTAGTGGTTATGTTAGTGGAGAGAAGGAGATACACATGAAATAGAAAGAGGCAAAATCTATAAGACTGAACAACTGAATGGGTGGTTGAAAGAGAGGAAGAAGTCAAGAATGATTTCAAGTTCATAAAACTAGGTGACAGGAAGGATGGTGGTGTCTTTGACAAATACAGGAAAGTTTGGAGAGCACTGGGTTTATCTGTTTTAGATATGAGTTTCCAGTGAGACACAGATGATGATGTCCAAAGGGCAACTGGGGATATGAAGAATACTGCCAAATAATACTTATCATTTGCATAAAGATGAGTATTAAGACAATCATAGCACATGATACAGTGCTAAGGAAAACATTTTAAAATATTAATGGTTTAGAAAAGTCTTCATATATATATATATATGTAGACAGAGGGCACAGGGTAAGTTAAAGATGAAGGGATGATATCTAATGTAAGATGCTGATGTTTGGCTTCCACAGGATGTCAAAACAGGGGTCCCCTGATTGCCCCAGCCAATTAGATCTTGAAGGAAGAAGCTAGTTCAACCACGAAGTTCCTGTTAGAGGGGCCCAGACCCTAAAGCAGTTCAAAGCAGTTGGGGTCAAGGACCAGGCACCAGCTTTTTGCAAGTGCTCATGCTTAATAAGCTTCATACATATTATCTGACACACCCTAAGGGCAGAGACTGCTGCCATTTTTTAACATGGGACGCATGATCCAGGTGGGATAACATGTCAAGGAACAACATGGAATGGGCATATGAGGAAGATTGTAACCTGGCAGGGCTAGGATCAATCCTAGCTCTGATGAGAGGAGCAGGATCACACTAACAGTATAAAAGCTGGCTGTCACTTCTGTACAATGGGCCTCTCCCCTTAGGGAGCGAACCTGCTTCTTGCAAGAACCATAATCAACGATTCTTCTTTCACTCCAGACTTAGTTTGATTATTGAGAGTGAGGCTCCACTAGGGCATTGCAACTGGGGAAGCAACGGGCTGTGGCAGCTTGCATGGGCTAACTTCCCAACCCTGCTGAGGGGGTCCAGGGGGCTCTATTTCTAACATCTAAAAAATAAAATTAAGGGGTGAGAGAGGATTATACTGTGAGAAAAAGAAAGGGAGAGGTAGAATGGGGTAAATTATCTCACATAAAACAGACAAGAAAAAGTTTTTACAGTGGAGGGGAAGTGGTGGAAGGTGAGAGGGAATGAGTGAACCTTCTCTCATAGGTTTTGGCTTAAGGTGGGAATAACATACACACTCAACTGGGTATGGAAATCTATCCTACCCTTTAGGAAAATACAGGAGAAGGGGATAAGAGAAGAGGGGATGACAGAAGGAAAGGCAGATTAGGGGAAGGGGTATTCAGAATGTATGCCATCTTGGGTTGGGAGGAGGGTGGATATGGGGAGAAAATTTGGAATTCAAAATCTTGTGGAAGTAAATGATGAAAACTAAAAATAAATTTAAAAAAAGAAAAGTCTTTTAAAAAAATAATCATACCCAAGACATGCATGGTCAGCATTCATTCTACCAAGAAATACCCTTTTGTGATCCAAGAAATCCAAGGTAGTAAGGCTAGAGGTTGAATGAATGGTTGACGGTATAAGCTGAATCATTTTTATTCTGTCCCTTTTTCAAACAGATAGGTCCAAAGAGAGAACAAGAGCAAAAGTAGCACATAACTTTCATTGCCACCTGTTGAATCTCTTACCTAGTTGTACCCATTTAACTTTGCTTGCCAACAATTTGGTCTTAGGTTTAGTTTTGCCTACTAGAGAGACCATCACTGCATTGGTAAGCCTATACAAATAATTCCACTTCTTCACATGACCCAGATAGATTTATAGACTCCCTGTGCTTTGAGGCCAAACTAATCTGCTAAATCCTCTGACCTTCTAGGTTGCAGCTTTGCTGGCTGGGTTTGTATATTATGGAGATGAGTCTGAGGTTAATCAGAAAAATTTTAAAGTACCTAGCCAACCTGTCAATGAAACAGTTTGAATACATTTAGTGTTACAATGAAGTAGTTTTTCAGATTTCATCGGAAGTAACTCATTTTAGAGCAATTTGGAATTATAGAGCAATTTTGTTTTATAGCCCAAAGGGCTATAAAACTAGGCATACCCTTTGATCTAGCCAATACCAAGACTAGGTCTGTATCCCAAAGAGATCATGAAAAAAGGAAAAGGACCCACATATACAAAAATATTTATAGCAGCTCTTTTTGTGGTGGCCAAGAATTGAGGAATTGCTGAACAAGTTGTGGTATATGTACTTAATGGAATACTATTGTATAGGAAATGGTGAGCAGGATGATTTCAGAAAAATCTGGAAAGACTTACATGAATTGATGCTGAGTGAAGTGAGCAGAATCAGGAGAACATTGTACACAGGAACAGTAACAATGTACAATGACCTATTTTAATAGACTTAGGTCTTCTCAGCAATGCAATGATCTAAGACGATTCCAAAAGACTCATGATGGAAAATGTTATTCACATCCAGAAAAAGAACTATGGAGTCTGACTGCAGATCAAAGCACACTATTTTCTTTCTTTTTTTCTTTCTTGTGGTTTTTCCCTTTTGTTCTGATTCTTCTTTCACAACATAATTAATGTAGAAATATGTTTAATATGATTTTTAACATATATAGCCTTTATCAGATTGCTTGTTCTCTTAGGGAGGGGGGAAGGAGACAGAAGGAGGGAGAAAAAAATTGGAACTCAAAATCTTATAAAAGTGAATGTTGAAAACTATTTTTACATGCATTTGGAAAAAATAAAATATTATAAGTGAGAGAAAAAAAGAAATATCTCATTTTAGCATGACCAGTTCTGCTCTCTTTGGGTGAGTTCAGAAACCAGACTTTTTTTTTCATTTTTTTCTAAGACCTGTGGTATCAAGACTGAGAGAGAAGAGGGTTCTATAATTTGAGGCTTTAGCAGAGAAATACTTTATATACCACTGCCAAAAGGCTTACATGGTAATTTTCATTTCTCTTAGTGTTATGAGCAAATTTTGTTTCTGTTTTGTTTTTTAGAGTAGGTTTAGATTGGGATTGGGAAGGTCAGTATAAGTAGTATGAATAGCACAGATTCTTATCAAGCCTTTGGGGAGAGGTAGGAATGGGGTAAGGATTCACCAACCACATATTGATGTATCTATTGATAAAAATAGTCTTTGAGGGAGGAAGAATTTGATGTTTTCTTGAAATCTGCCATCTATTTAATGTGATTTTGATACTTTTAGGAAGATGCATTACTAGCTACCTCATAAGTTCAAAGGAAAACAATCCAGCTCATTAATTTCCCATCTGATTGAAAGGAATAATAAAACAAGACACAAGTTTCAGATACACAGAAATCTAATTACTTTAGAATGGTTCTTTAATTTGCAGTTCTCTTGTTTTTAAGTCTTTCTAGTAGAGATCTTACAACATCCTCATTTCTACTTGCTCCTTCTGTGGGGGTGCTGAAATTCATGGACATTTTTCTTTTAAATTGTTGCTGATTTCCAGATGTTTTCCTCCCACATGGCTGATCACCTTTAGCAAGTATAAAGTCAAGCCAAGTCATCCGTTTAGGTAACTGGTGATCAATGTGTGATTTAAGGGGCATAGTGTGAGGACAGGAAAATGAAATTGGAGATGTAAAGTGTGTGGAGTCCCAAATGATGTCTGTCTTTGACTGGGGAACTTGGAGAATATGTTTAATACCCATCTCATCCTTAGAAGTTGGCATAGGACTTGGCATAACCACCAATTGTGCTGCATAAGGATCTTTCATTCCATTTACATGGGGACAATCATATGGAATCCAGGAGGCACAAGCTAAACAGACAGTGTAACTAGTTGATAAATGTGAGCCAGGTTGAGTGTTATGATAACCCCTCATCCGCCTCAGGAGAATCTGCTTTTGGATATCATTTTTTTTCTCCTCCCGGGGAATAGAATTGATGACACTGCTAAAAAATTCTTTGGAGATATTCTTACTGCCCTCAGTAGGATGTATTAAATGGATATGTGTGAAAGACTTTGAGGACTCTCTCTGGCTTTCCTGGGCCTTGTGGTTAAGGCCAGGTGAAACAGCCTCAGCTGGGTAGTGACAGTTTAATGTACCCTTGTCCTGATCCTTCAGGTTTGATGGAGATGTCTGGTGGTCAGATCCTGGGGAAAGTGTGTCAGGATTTGGTACATCTTCAGACTTCTTTTCCAGATCTGTTGGAGAGTTATCTTTATAACCAGCCTGGTAGTCAGGACTAAGTCTAAGGATATCCTGATGCTCAGCAGCCAGAGGAGCCTCTGGCAGATGATCAAAATCTAAAGATGTAGTGCCATGGTCAGAGACTGGTGTAGTCTGTTTCAATCGGTTAGAAACTGGTGAAGGCTGATCCTGGTGGTCAGGGACCTCTTCATCCTTGGCAGTCTGGCCCTGGCTCAATGAAGGTGTGGCCTGGTGTTCTGAGCCTTGTGTTGTCTGTACCCAATCATCAGAGTCTGAGGAAGCCTTAACTTGGTGATTGGAATCTAAGATACCTTTGGTCCTGTGGTCTAAATCTCCTTCAACCTCATCCTGGTGGTCACAGGCTGATATAGCCGCATCCCTGTCATTACTTCCTGATGCAGCCTCAGGTTGGGAGATAGGAGTTAGTAAAGGTGTTTTCTTATGGTTGATATCCAATGAAGTCTCATCAGAGTGATCCAGATGTAGATATATTTCAGGAGTTTCAAAATGTTTGGGGTCAAGCAGTTTCTTGGTCTCATTTTCTAGACCTGATACTGGCTCGTGTTGGCAGCAGGTGTCTGATTGAGTTTCACATTGTTGGTTAAGGTCCACTCTAAAATTAGATTTATGTTCTGGGTTTGGTGTTATATCAATCTTTTGACCAGGGTCTGGTTGAGGTGTGACCCAGTAGTTGATATGTAAAACCTCAGTTGGGTGGTCAGGACCCACTGAACTTTTAACCTGTTGATCAGAGATTAATAAAACTTTAGCTAGATTGTAGGATCCTGGTGGAAATGTAGGTTGTTTGTTAGGGAGTTTTGATGGCATAAATGCTCCCTTGACCCAGTTGTAATAGGGTATCAGTGGAGTCTCAGCCAGATGTGTATGAGGGCACTGTAAGGGCATTGAGGTAGCCCTGAGCCAATTTGAGTCATGGCTAGGTGGCACAGTTGTCACTTGGGTCTGACGGTTTGAGATTGGGGTTAACACAGTCATAGCCATTGGAGCCAAGGGCATTGGGGGACATTCTGGTGGCACAGTTATGGGTCTGACCTGGTGGCTGGATTGTGATGACAGCATAGCTTTGATCTTGGGATAGTTATCTGAGCATGAAAATGTCATAGCTTCAATCTTTTGCCGATGGTTGAGGCATTGAAATTGGGAAGTTGTGACCCAGTCCCAATGTCTCGACCTCAATGATGGATGTGGATTGAGACATGGTAATGCTTCAGGTGTTACCTTGGCCTGGTACTGACTACATTGTGAATATGAAGCTGTAATCCTGGTCTTGGGGACAGGAAATGATGGAGTTGTGGGCTGATTATTGAGTGGTTGAGCCTCAAATTGGTTATGACAGCCTTGGGGAATCTTAGGAAGGTGGTCACGGCCAGATGAGGTCTTGAAAAGGGAGTCAGGGATCAATGGAACCCGAGTCCAGTGATTAAGGTCAAAAAGAGGTGTAGCCCAGTATTCATGGCATGGTGAGGTAATAGCTGTGGTTTTGCCCCAATGTTTCAAGTGTGGCGAAGGCATAATTGTTCTTTGGGTCTCCAGATGTTGTAATGTTGCTTCATGTTCAATATGGGGTAGTATCATAGTTGTAGCCTCTTTGTGGCATGATGAGGGTATAGTCGTACTTTTGCAGCGAGGATTCATTGATAATTTGGTTTGAGGCTGGTATAGCTTAGCCCTGGAAAGAGAATCTTCATTGATTGATGGCATTGACTGGTGAGGGTAACATGGTAACAGTACCATCTTCGACTGACAATGAAGGCCCTTTTGAGAGTACTGGACTGGTGCTTTTGATGAAGAGACTGTGTAAATGAGGATAAAGTAATACCACATTATAAAATACATGACAAAGAAAACTATAAAATAGGGAATAATCATGGAATAAGGAAAGAGTAAGCACTACCTAACAATAACATTACTTAATCTTCACAATAACCTGATGAGGTAGACAGGGAATTTTTTTATCTCCATTCATTCTACTGATGAGGAAACTGAGGCTCAGTGCTATTAAGTGATTTGTGGGTCACAGGATAATTGAGACTACAGCTCAACACTTCTATCTCTAGAGATTTGGCTGATACCTAGGCTCAATATCAAGGAGAAGGGAATCACAAAAAGTTTGGGTCAATGACCTCCTCAAGTAAATAGGGACAGAAATCAAGGGGAAAAAAAATATGATGGGGCCAGCCATTTGAGACTGCTTAAAGTCAAAGCTCACCATTTGACGATGTCTTCTTCCTTCTTCCCATTGGTCTATTGGAGATTTTCCTTCGAGAATATGTTAACAAAAGAAGTGAAAAATCCAGATGACCTCATAAAGGCAAACAAATGATTATTTTTAGAACTTGACCCAGGCCCTGCATGAATTTTTTTGTTTTGTTTTTGTTGTAATGCAGGTACTTTTGTTTCCATCAATGAGATTGTTAACAGCTAGAATTGTGCCATATCATCATTTCAAAACCAACCCTCCTGCAAATAGGGAAAAGGTGAAATGAGTTGTGGACCCTGCATAACCTCATGGACCTCTAGATTTTTCTTCTCACTCTTATGAAAATAAACTCTGAAAATTTTGTTCATATTGCATTCATTTATAAATTGAGATAAAAATAGCTGAAAAAGCTTTGCGTTATTCAGCCAAAGCTCATTTTAAGAGGAATAAAATACTTCAACGAAGTTAATGAAATTCTACTATAAAAGGGTGTTCTTAAACTAATTCTTTTACAAAAGACGTTCTGGTCTAAATGTAAATGAAGTAAAATTAATGGCATTTTGAAACTATTTGGGTAAGAAAATTGAGTATCATAAAACTGGGGCTAATTGCCAATCTTTTGCATTGTACCATAGATGTAGAGCTGGTAGGAATCTTAGGGGTCATCAAGTCCTACTCTTGTTGTTTTACAAATGAGAAAACTGAGGCACAGAGAAGTCAAATGACCTGCATGGGATCTCACAGCTAGTAAAGATGTCTGAAGTGGAATTTGAACCCAGTTCTTTCTGTATTCCAAGTCTAGTAACTACAACATGTTGCTTCTCATCTAAGATGTCTTCTAAACCTTTCCACAAACAAAATATCCTGGTAACCCACACTAAATTTCCACTACCCACTTACTGTCTTGAAGAGCTTCTCACCAGTATCAAGAAGAGCAGGGCACTGGGTCAATCCAAGTTGTCTCCCAGGTTATAAATTTCCTCAATAGGAGACAGATGAAAGATTAATGAGTCTTCTATAAAAATAAACTGATAAAAAAAAAAGTATTTTGTCCAAAAAAAATAGTACTCTCTCCTAAGAGGTCAATGTTCTAGAAAAATAGATGTGGTCTTTAGAAAACTATAGGAGGACAGAGACCACTAATTCTCAGTCCCAGAAGGAGTCGCCATAATGAACTCTTACATCATAGAGCTGTCCATTGTCTATCTGTAGGCAGTTTCCCCAGCAATCTGTGGAGGCTATTCATTTCAAGGAATACTTGAACTCTTTGACACTCCTATGACGCAGTGCTCCATGGAAAAACTCATAATTTCCTGTGGGCCAGCTATATATCTCTTCCCACACCCTCAGAGAACTTTTTGACTTAACATTACTAAATCCTTATCTCTTGGTAAGTGCAAAAACCTTAAACCATCAGCAAGAGCCTAAATTTCTGTACCTCCTGAAGGGCAGAAACCATCCATTCATCTCCTATAACATTTCCATAACATTTATCTTCCATAACATTTGTCTACTGTCTAACTTTACATATGTCTGACATGAAACACATTTACATGTTTTATATGAAATATTTTATCAATTTTGTGAAGATTTTATACCAGCAAGTAAAGGAAATATCTTCATTGTCTCCATTACTATTCAAGAAATGCTCTTGTAAAACCAGGAGAAAGAAAAGAGCTACCTTAGATGAAAAAAAATAGGCAAAAGAGATCTTTTATAGATGATATGTTTTCCTTAAGAGAACTTCAGAGATTCAAGGGGAAAAAATGATTGAAACAATGAATGTAGCAAAGCCGAAATTTTGCTAGTCCACTTATTATATAGTCTAACAACAATATTTTCAAATCTTAGGAGTACCTATTTTCATTTATGCAGTGTTCACAATCTCAAGACTTCTTAAATTCTATTTTTTGTAAATAGATGCTTTTTACATTGTAATTTGCACTCCCACCCCATCACCCATATACACCTGTCAATAAAACTTTCAATAATTGATGAACAGAGGGATCACGTCAAACAATGTATTCAATATTCTGCACATATAGCACTGGATCTGTAGTCAAAGGACTCAGGGTCAAATGCCATTTCAATCGTTCAGTCATTTCAGTCATGTCTGGCTCTTCATGATTCCATTTGAGGTTTTCTCGGCAAAGATACTGGAATGGTTTGCCATTTCCTTCTCCAGCTCATTTTTACAGATGAGGAAACTGAGACAAACAGGGTTAAGTGATTTGCCCAGGGTCACACAGCTAGAAAGTATCTGAGGGCAGATTTGAACTCAGGAAGATAAGACTTCCTGACTCCAGGCCAGGCCCTCTATACTACCTGCACTATTTAGCAGCCAACTTGGCCACTATGTGATCTTGGCCAACTCACTCAACCTCTCTGGGCCTCATTTTCTTCATCTATAAAATGGGGAAGGAAGAGAAACAGGATAGATGGCCTCAAAGGACACTTCCACTTTTGTATCTATGACCCCTTAGATCTGATGCCTTTTTTTTTTTTGCACACAGTAGAGATTCTGTAAATATTTGCTGAATGAACATTAATCACTTCATTTTCATCTACTTCACTGGATGAGAAACTAAATGTATTATAGAGTTCTGTGGAATATTGTATATGTGTAAAGTAAAAAGAGAAACACTACGTGTGCCAGGAGTTTTTCTTTCTTGTTGGGAAATGAATCCATCTATCCTTGGATTTGGGGAATTAGATTAAATAAGATTATAAGGGATTGTAGCTTTAGCAGAAATCTTACCTCCTCCTTTTCTCTCTTGCCCTCAGTTTGTCACTGTATAAAATTCATAAGATATCACTCACATGGTGTCAGTGATTTACATCACGAAGGGATCTTAGGAGTCATCTAGTATGAAACCATATTTTAACCCTCAAACACCAAGGCCTAGAGAGGGTAAGTTATTTCCCAAAGGTCACACAGATAACAATGACAGAGATGGGACTCAAGTCCTCTGACTCCCATAATCCAATACTCTTTCAACAATATCACATCTACATCTTATACAGCAGCAGCACTGAAGCCAGTCACAGAAGAATTTTAGAAAGTAATCCCTTGGAAGAGCCCTGCATTGCATGCAACTGCATTTGTGAGCCTCCAGGAAAGAGAGTAAGAAGCTCAAAAGGTAAGTCATTCTTCAACCCTAACTGGTTCAAATGCAAGATGGCCTTGAAGGAAAATTCAGCACAATGGGCAATTTATTTTTCAAAATCAGGCACCAAAACAAACAGTGGATTCATGTGCTTCCTACTCCCAAGAAATGAAAGCAGAGCCCCTGGGAAATCCAGTAGCATCCAGAATGTGACAATAAGGCATGAGCCCTTACAGAAAATTGTCATGTGATTTCTGCTTTGTAGACTTTAAATAAATATTTGCTGATGACTGGGAACTTCTTTCCCCATCATCTGAGCATAAAATGTAACTGAGAGCACAAGAACTACCCATTTTTTGTTTCCTTTCCCAAAAAGTGTTTTGCTTTACCCTTAATGCTAGTTGACTGATTTGATTCTTCCCCTGAACACATCCAAGAATATTTACTCACCTAGCATGCTAATGTCTCATGTCTTAAGCTTACTTTAAAAATGTGTGTGTCAGTTGTTTGCATGTTGTCTCTCCCACTAGAATGTAAGCTCCCTCAGAGCTCAATAGAGGAAGTGTTTTTTGGCCTTTATTTGAATCCCTAGTACTTAGCACAGTTCCTGGCACTTGGTAAGCACTTAATAAATGCTTGTTAACAGGGAAAAAAAAAGTGTGTTTGTGTGTGGGTGAGAGAGAAAGAGACAGAGACAGAGACAGAGACAGAGACAGAGACAGAGAGAGAGAGAGACATTTAGTCTCCCTTGATCTTCCCTGGGTTACAGTAAGCCATGGTCAAGTAACAGAAAACCAAATTCAGAAATTATTGCTTTTCATGATCTAGAAAAGCTCCACACAGAATTCCCCTGACTCTTGCTTGTGATTAGAAACATAAGAGAATAGATTGAGAGTTGAAAGGGACCTGAGAGACCCACCTAATACAATCCCCTCCACTTACAAATGAGGACAATGAAGCCAGAGAAGCTAAATGTCTATGCATAGTCACACAGATAGTAAGTGATATAGCCAGAATTTGATCTCTGATTCTAAATCTGGATCTCTTTCAGCTGTACGTCTGATCCAATTTTCAGATTTCCTTGGTCTGGATTTGTAGAATAGCCAAAAAGAAGCTAGCCTCAAGGATGTGTCAACTGAAGCTTTCTCTAAGATCTCTTGAGTATTTTGGAGGCAAATCTCCAGCCTTTTCCTTCTCCCATTCTTGGCCCCAACAAAATGTGTATCAAGTTTGTCCCTGAGTGCCTTCTCCTACATTTCCCTGATCCCAAAAGGGTCTCTTACCAGTAAGAAATTCAAGAAGAACAGGGAACAGGGCATTTCAGATGTCCCCAAAATCAGAAAGTCCAATTCGATTGTAACCCCAGCGGCAACAAGTTTCCCCTGTAAGAAATAAGTCCTTGATAAAAATCCAAAAACTAAGAAAAATAATCAGTTGGTTTAGAAAAGTTTACCTCATAGTATGCAGATAAACATAAGACATAATTCTTTAGGCACCTACCTTGTGTATCAGGACTGATCTTTTGATCTCTTGTCCTAATAAGTGACCCTGATATTACTCTGACATCATAGAGCATTAGCTGTTTTGTCTACCAGCAGTCCAAGTGGCCTCACGCTATATCTAGGCAGCCACTTGGCACAAGGGGACTTAGGGAATATGCTGGGAGGAGTTAGGGTTTATGGATTCCAGCTCTGTCTAGAAGAAATCTAAGAAGTCATCTACTCCAATCTCCTTACTTCATAGGGGGTATGGAGCATGTACATAGTTGCCCTGCCAATTTCTGGCTGCATTAGCTCAGGGCTGAGGGATGTGAATTATTTGGAAGCACTTAGTGATTCTCTTACTGGTCATTGAACAGGATGAACCAATGATTCAGCTCCTCTTTAAAGGAATGGCTTTGGAAGCACCCAACTTCCTCAACACTGAGCCAGTGTACTTAAGTAGTCAGCCAAAAAGAGGCAAGAACACTCTGTGAATGCCCTGTGACTTTCATTACAGGAAGAAGAGGCCTATGGATATTGTGACTTACCCAAGGTCATACAAGCAGAAAGTTGTAGAGCCAGAATTTCAAACCAAGTCTTCTAAATCAAAATCAAACCCTCTTTCCACTGCATCATTCCTTCTTCCCTACACAGAATACAAACAATCCTATCTTGGAGCTATACCTAATTGAATTTCCTGATAGTTTTTACTAATTGGAACCATTCATAGATCCTTTCAAAATAAGAATTCTTGGAAATCCTCAAACACCTGAGGTATCCAGATCATCAGTAAATTGTAGTAAGTTATAAACAGATTTCTAGGACCTTTGGATATAATATTTGAAATTTTTAAAGCATCATCTTTAAATGCCATTACTTTTTACAAAGCCATTTCAATGGCTTGTACTTCTTGCTAAATGAAGTTCAAAGTCCTTGGCATTCAAAGTCTAGTATTCCTGACCTTTCAAGTCTAATTTCATACTGTTCTTTCCAAATACTCTACCCCTTAGCCAAAGTGTACTCACTTGACATTCTTTCTTTGTATTCATCCAGCACTTTACTACCTTTGTGTCTCTGTTCACACTATTGCACCACCTCCCTTAAATTCCTTCTCTCTTAAAGTTGAAATAAAATGCCCTTTGCTCTCTGGAACATCCTTCACGATCTTTGACATATGTTAATAATAACTTTTTACCTTCTTTCACATCACATATCATTTTGTCTGTACCTCTAATGCATTCCAGTGTTACTTTAAACCTATTTCACAGGAGTCAATGCAAGCTATTAGATAGATAGGCAACTAGATGGCAAGGTGGGTAGAGTACAAGTCATGGCTAGAGTTATTTAGAGCTACTAAATGGATAGGGCAGGATATGAACTCAAATGCAGCATTTTATCCACTTTGCTGTCTATCTACCTATCTATCTAATAACTTGTATTCGTGTATTGCTGCTTTATCAGTTACACAGTACTTTCCATATATTTCAACTTACTCCTATGAAATATGTTTTAAAAACCTTTTTCCC